GTGAGAGAGAGAGAGACATGAATGTTTAACTGATGCGGTGCTTATTTAATTCACACTCAGATTACTCAATTGTGGTCAAGGTGTAAAATAAAACCACATATTTTTAATCTTAAAAAAGCGATAAGAGACAGTACTTCCATGCACTTTATTAGGTACACCTAAATGTACTTCCAAAACACCGGGTGCTACTCCTGTCAGCTAAGAACCGGAAACTGAGACTACAGTTCAAACGGGCTCATCAAAACTGGACATCAGAAGACCGGAAAATGTTGCCTGGTCTGATGAGTCCCAATTACTGTTGTGACATTTAGATGATTGGGTCACAATTTGGAATGAAACCATAAATCCGCCCTTATTTCAGCTAGACTGGTGGTGGTGTCATGGTGTGGGGATATTTGCTTGGCACACTTTGAACCCCTTTACTACTAAGTGAGAATAGTTTAAATGCTATGGCCTACCTTAGTATTATTGCTGAGCATGTCTAAAGGCCTAAAAGCAAAAATGGGTCCAAACCAGTACTGTATTATTTTTTAATGGCTTTTGCTTAAAATATATAAATAAATAAATACAATTCTCATTTACAAGAAAACAAACATTCAGGCCTACTTCTAAAACAGAAACGAAGCTAACGGTTAATAAAAGAGAACAAAAGTGTTTTCTTTTTCTGCTTAGAGGCAGCTTTTCTCATAAGTATTATTCCATTTCGTCATAATTAGTGAGTCAAACCAGAAGAAGAAGTGCACAAACTTACAGGAAGGGAAAATACTTGATCTAATTCCCTCGCCACAAGACTTTGTTTTAGCGGTAGTGGCTTGTATTTTACATCCTGCACAAGTGTTTAAAAAAAAAAAAACAAAACATAAAAAACAGACCTGTGGGTCTTTGTGCTTTCTCAGCACCAAACACAGTACAATACTAATTCTCTCTATGAGGTTAAGTCCCGTAATAAAAGAGAGCAACACACCTTTGGTATGACTATGAACGGAAATGAGTGCACTTTACTTTGAGAGGTCACGTAACCCCTTAAATAACTCTGGCCTATTTATTACTTCATGATGAATTACTTCAAACTAAAAGTAAAAAGACAGAAAAAAACCCAATAAGTAGAACAAATGTGAAGACGAACATTTCTAAGACAACAGAGCAGCAACATAATGCCACATCTCACACAGATGTCATAACCGAACACTTGATGTGTCACCAAACATGCTGAATAACCTGCTCGGGTTCCATCTTTCCAACATCTTCATTTAATACCAAATTCATTTGACACTTTGCATTTAAACTCCACACAAACAAAAGCACTAATAATGCTGCAGGGGCCCTGGGGATTATGTAAATCGAGCTTTATGTGCTTTAAAATCAGGCCCGGTCTCACACTAAAATAAGTTAGCACAAGAGCACAGCCACATGATCAAATTACCTACTGCAACAAATAATTATTTTCATCAAGATTTATGTAGTTCATGTAATGTTATTAGTATTATGAAGGAAAACTAGCAAAAAGCTATATTTCAGAAGCTCAAATCTGTTGTTTTGGGGCATTCTGGTTTAAATGGATGTAAGTGAAGCTATAATTTTGTCACGACTAAAAAACTTAGAAGACGGCAGTCCGGGAAGCCATGTCTGTGTACTGTATATGCAGCCTTTTTTCCTACAGACTGGCTGAAGACACGAAACAGCACGCGCCTTTAGTTTGGAATAACATGCTGGGTTTGTATCGCATCACAGTTTGGCACAAGTGAAAAGTGATATTATGACAGTAATACTGAGGCGCAGTATGGGTTTCATTGTGCAGTAAGCCTGCAATTAATCTTTTAATAATCCCTCGATTAATTATTTAGTTATATCAAATGTCCCATAATGGGGGGGGGGCATTATACGTTTTCAAATGACTTGTTCCATCCTGTTTAACTGTCTAAAACCAGAACATATTTGATTTACAATGATATAAAACAGAGATCTGCAGTAAATCGAAATCACATTTGAAGAGCTGTGTGTGCAGCAGATATTTGGCATCTGTGTTTGATAAATCTATTCAAGCTGCAGGTTTTCCTACAACTAACTTCAAAATGTCTACACTAGTATTAAAAATACAGATGCAACCTTTGACCCCGACTAAGTGACGGGATCAGAAGACTCGCTTATGCTGTTAGAGCATGTCGGCTGACAAATCAATACGTGATGAAATATCTGCAGAGAGGAGTGGTCTCTACCAGGCTTGCAACGCGTCCCTTCATTCGGGGACATAACAGTGTAATTTTGAATATTACAACTATGTGAATCATATTTTCTGGGCTTCTTCTGGAGTCTCCAGATTTCACCCCAACTGAACACCTATGGGAAAGGTTGTAATAACAGCACCTTAAAAATGATAATATGGGTGTTATTTAAGAAGGCTAAATATGTAAGAAGCTCAGAACAGTACAATGCTACATTCATACCTGGCTCCAGACAACCTGTGGCCGCAGTCCAGCCCATCACAGGAGGTATCGCCCCCACAACGGCACCCACCCACGTGTTGGTGATGCTGAGTCTCTTGAGCGGTGTGTAGCAACAGGTGTAGAGAAAGATGTTGAGGGCGCCCAGGAAGCCTGTCAAGGGGTTTACTGCCAGCGTGAGCAGAGCGACTCCTGGCACTCCACAGGCCAGAGCAAAGGACACTGCGTGGAGGGGGCTGATATAAGGAAGGGAGACAAACAGAGAGGGAGTCAGCTATATCGACTAGACAAAGCTCAGGTGAAAGCATGGGAACAGTGTGCTGATAATGTTTCCTAGGTCTTTCTAACAGACACCAGATAAGACAATAAGAGCTTCAAATGTTCAGTACAGACACACGCAGACCCGTGGGGGCCAGCAGTCAGCAGCCGAGCATGGCTGAGTCTCAAAACGGGAGGCGTGGAGGACACTCATCTGATAAGAGTTTGTCAGGGATAAAAGTAGCGCCGCAAGATGAAGAGCATGTGCACGCACCAGAGATCAAAACTAGCTGAAGGAAACCACTGTGGCTCAGGCTTTTAGCTGGATGAAGGCTTCCTCCTCCTCTTCCTTCACCCCTCATCTTTAACTGAAAGCAGCGATGGCAACGTCTGGTTCAAATTCACCAGTAAATGCTTCATAAATTAAAGAGGGAGGAGATTAAAATCTTGACCAAACGCAGGCCTTTTTCTTCAGAAAGCAAACGGGGCTTTTATTTTGGTGGTGTGGCCATACAAGGGGATTGGAGCATTAATGTGATTAGTGGTGTTATGTCTTTTTTATGTGGGCTGAGATGGGGCCGTGCAGGCTGGCTTTGGGCAGCTGACAGCCTGGCTCTGGGCTGGCTCAGTGGGGGTCAGGGAAGGGAGTGGGTCACATGGCCTGAGGTGGGTTTAGTGTCCTTTGCTTACAGCTCGACACAGCCGCAGTCATAACGTCAGGCTCTTAATGTCAATACAGAAAGCCCAACAGGTTTCCTTTTGGTTAGACCACAATCAAGGTCATGGATCCAAATGTAAAACACCCATAAGGTTGAAGAAACAAGATGAATCTACTTAAAGCCCTGTAATCTGTGAAGCACTCAAACGGTCAGAGAGCGCAAAGTAAACTGTGGAAAGCAAACCTTCTCTATTCAAGCCTGACCAGAAATAAAGCGGCTTGAGGGACTGGTGTAAAACTGGAAACTGAATACAGATTTATGGAACCTTCTAAGACTCAACACCACTCACATATTACTAAAAACAGCCTACTGATCCACTGACATGAAATCTGCCACAAAAATCTCAAGAAAACATTCAAAACCTGTTTTTCTTACTCGTTTTGTTGAAATTTACACACAAAAACTGAATATTTAGTTGAAAAAGCACTGAGGGTGACTACGCTTCAGTTACCTTGCATTTTACTAGCATTTAAATATATGTAATACTCTATACTGTTCTGTAAATATGATTAAATTACTCAAAGTTTAGTTCACGTTACTGAAATAGTTGTTTGTTAAAATCTGTTGGTAAAACTGAGATGCATTGATGGCTTTATAAAAGCTACTAAGTATTGTTTGACGTCCTGGTCACTTGCTTGCCCAACAACACTTAAAACTATTGAAAACATTTATAAAAGAAGTTTAAAACTACTTGACAAAAAACAGACTTCCCACCACCACTGTCATGTGTTAAAAAACATAAATTACTGAACTTCAATAACTTAGTGGAACTTAAAAGAGTGAGTTTAATATATAAAGTCTTACACTCCCTTGCTCCACCACCACTAAAGCAGTTCATTAGGCATAAAGAAAGCTCAGACAGGACCACTCGAGCTTCAATCCGAGGAGACTTGTTTATACCCCACAGACGGACAGCATTTGGGCAGAACGTCCTCTCTGTTAAGGGAGGCCATCTGTGGAACAGTCTTCCTCAACCCATTAGAGAATGCTCTACACTCAATTTGTTTAAGGCAAAGGTTAAAAACTGGTTATGGACAAATCAAGTGTGTGATCATGTAGGAGTTGTATAGTTTTAATGTTTTATTTGGGAACAGAATGGTGTGTATGTGTACGTTTGGTGATGGAGTTTTTATTATGAATGAATGATGAATTTTTATGAATTATTATGTCTAATTTTTATGCTTAAGGACAACAGATGGAAATTAGCCCTTGGCTATAATCTGGTATGTTTACATTCATGTAATTTTTTTTTACATTTATGTTCATTAACATGCACTGTCCTAAATAAATAAATAAATAAGTAGTCTCAGATCCATTAAAACTTTGAAACTCTGAAATCCCACTCTGACTTAAGTATGTGCTGATTTCCACACTGTAACCAACTCTGGTTGTAACAGTTGCAATCTGAATTGCTCTCCTTAGAGATACTCAAAATGATCTGCTGTCTCACCACATCTGGAAGCCTCAAATTTGACAAGACCACAACTAAGAGAGGGTGACTGTCATTCACATTTCCAAAAAGAAAAAAAAAAGGTGGGAAAGATGATATACTAGTATTGTCCTGATGTAACACAACAAACTACATCCAACACTGACATCACACTAGGCGGAGCAGGTTTTGCAGTAAGGACAAACAAAGCTGGGTAACACAATTTAACTCATACAAAGCGCTTTCCTAAAGGCAACACAGAGATGTGTAAAATGTGGCTTCCTGATGGCTTGTTTGACAGGATAGTCCGGCCTGCAATCTGCTCTCTGTCTCCACACGAGATTGTATGTGTGAATGAGGAGAAGGGAGACGTGCTAGAAACAATGAGCAAGAGATGCAGCTATTTTGTGAATCTCAGAGACAGACGTACACCTCCTCTTGTCAAACGAAGGCTAAAAGCCAGAGAAGAGAGGCTGTGTTTAGACAGAGGGAGAGCACTTCCAATAACCACCTCAGCAGCACCAGTACACTTTTAAACAGCATGTCAATGGAGAATTCCTTAAACTGGGATGAGATAGCTGTGGTGTGGGTGAAGAAACAGTCATGGTACTAACAGAATCTTTAGTTAAACAAAAAAAAAAGATCGTGTGGACATTCAGTCTATATTTAGAGAGCTGCACATCAACAGGTTGCTTTATTTCTTGGGGAGCTGTTCATCCTGTAAGAATGAACGGCAAATGAGGCAATTTCCTGGCAATGATAATGGTTGAAGAAGACCTGTAGTCTGTTTGGGTTTATGCATCAGTGAAAATCCATGTGTTTGCCTGCTGCTTAAAGGTGCTAGTCTTTCAAAAGGGGCAAGCAGAGACCAGCATATCCAGTCACTGAGTAAGATTTGTAGGAGCGTGGCAATCCACATAGTTCACTGAGCACCAAAACAGAGGTTATCTGATATCTAAAGAGCAGAGGTAGCACAGTGAGGGTGGTTAGGTAACCTACACCTCATCTCAACCTCATCACCCTCCTTTCCAACCTGCTGACAAGTTCAAATTACACCTGACAGGTGGAGAGCAGAGGCTCATCAGTGCTGGCATGCATTTCTCTTCCTGGCAGCTAAGGTCTCTCTACAAAACAGCTATTGCTCTGGTTCAACACCACAATAACTCAAAAAGGAAAGCTGGAACTGAAAGGTGTAAATTAATATGTGCTACTGTTTTATTTAAGCAGTAATCATCATATCGCCTGCAAGTGCGCAGAGGCTCTGACATCACAAGCTGCTAGATCACGTTTCACCCCAGGAAAAGTATCCAGCTAAGGCACAAGGTAAGGATCAGGTCAGTGAGCAAGAAAACAGTAACACACTTTGTCTTTCACCCAGTGAGATGTACAAGAGTTAGTCAGGGTGGCTGAGCAGCTGTCACACAGTGTCGCTGCACTAAACTCAACCCAAACTCGTGGTGCGCTGGTGCACTTCACTCCTCATGTGCATTCTCTGGCAATTTGTTTTACAGTCTTTCTAAAAGGATAAAACGTACCGATGGTAGTTCTATACCAAATCAATCTTACAGTGTTTAATATGCAGGAAGGAAAATATTACCTGATCTGTCCTCTGACGAGCGGACGGTTCTTTGTTCTGTTCATGTTGGAGTCAAAGGGCACCTCGAAGTACTGTGGAGACAGAAGAACAAGTGGGTTAGTGTAGGAAAGTGACAGTCAAGTTCCAGATACAAGACACCAGACAAGAAGAAACAAGGAGGAGCTGTCCTGTGAGACATTATCTTCTGTACGGCATGCAGCGGAGAATATTTATCAGTCTATGAAATGAGAACTTTTGCAAAATTTTTAAGGTAAATTCTTGCACACTTTCTACACTGCAATTCAAAAGATACAGTTTGTCAAATTAAAATGAGTTTTCAATATATTGTTGAGATGCAAAGGTTGGGCTGAGACCCAGACAAACATGTTTTTATTTGTTTTTTAATTCAAACATTGTGCAGATGCAAAAAGGAGAAAAAAAAGCCTAAACCCCATACTGGTTAAGCTTTCACAGAAATGTACATAATATAGTGTGCCTCATAGAGCAAACATGGGAGACTTTCACTATTACTGCCAATGTGAGCTTTTCTACTGCAGCATAGGAACAGAACCGATATGATGGGACCCGCTTTATGTACGGTCATAGCAACTCTCTGAATCGAAAGCTCACACTGCATTTTAAGAGTAAATGGACTGGAGGTGGAAGGTGGAGGCAGTGAGCTAGCTGTTGGGTGGGAGGTGGTAGTGGTGGGAGTGTTCTGGGATACAACTATGTGAAAAACTACTTATACTCCTGTTTTATGATCTGCTCTGGAGGAGTAAGCTTCAAAGTGCTCCCATGAGATTGGCAATGTGTGACTAAAACGCAAACATATGGGGTGCTTAAATGCAGGAACTGGCTAATCTGTGTGTGCGCGTATCTGTGTGCAAGTGAGAAAATGAACATACGTGTGCGTTTCTTGTCTGATAAAGCATCTGACTAACGAAAAAAGCAGATAAAGCATGTGAACTATGGAATATCGACGTCCATCTCTCCTGATATATGTTTCACATAAAATATCTAATAAACAGATAATCCACTTTTCTCATCTTAAACCCCAGTTACCAAATTTACTGCAGTCATTAAAATCATATCATAAAAAACATTGGAGGAATGTGCCACCCTTGGTATCATATAGATTTTCTTTTCTAATATCATTAGGGAGTGGCCACACCATCAATCTCTGATACAGAAGATCTCTCATAATAGACGACTGTAATTTGGAGTAAAAAACACTGATGGAAAGATCAAACATCTTTGTGGTCCCCTTACATCAGTTTGCACTATGTTTGGTGTTGGGAGGCACACTAAGCCATTCAGATGAGGGCTGCGAAATGCTACACACATTTCAAATAGTACAATATAATACAAGTACTTAATTTCGCCTGTTTGCACATGATACAGCTATTCTTTAGTCACAATTTTACATCCCATCTCAAGATAAAAGAACAAAACTGGAACTGAGGGTAAAGTTTAGCTCCTTATTTGGATGCAGTTACTGCTAAAATTGCAATGCAATAAAACTGTCCAATAAAAACGTTTAACAGTCAAGAACAAGTTTCTTACACTTGGATTAGGCCTAGTCTGAAACTCAAAAAAAGGGACTTGGACTATGCTTAATCCATGTCTGGGAAACTGAGCCTATAATTAATAATAATCCATCTTCATGCACTCAAAAGAAAACTTCTGTCTTCTGTTTTCCATCTTTGTTTCAGCTTTACTGGTCTGCTTGGTTTTGGACTGTACTAGGCTATGGCACAGCTGCGTATGCTGCTGTAGGACCCGAAGGCCCAGGCCAAGGTGTTAATTCTATTTCCTGGGTCAGGAAATGCGTCAGGAGGTCAGGGGCCGCATGAGAGAGAAATGCACTTTGCGGCCAGGCTAGAACATAACAGGACTGAAGCTGGCCTCAGGCAGGCCCAGGGCCAAGCTCACTGCAACACTGCTCACATAAAAAGGACCCACTTAGTTTCCAATAACATCATCCCACATGGTTTAAAAAAAGAAAAAAAAAAGCACAAATTCTGTGCACAACAGGACTGTCTTTTGTTCAGCCACAGGCGTAACAACACACCTGTACTGTACATATGAAGTGAAGTAAATTATCTCTCTCCCGTTGCTTGGATCATGCTGTCGTGTGCATTTGCAGAGACTGATACGTAAATGTCACACGGCCGATCCTGTTCCGTGAGCCGTGTTGTCATTTCACAGTTTGTCCAGTCCTGCTCGTGTTCCTCCCTCTCTGCCTTTTAAGTCGAATTGCCTCATCTGGTTCGCATTAGCGGCCTTCACAACCCATGTCATTATTTCCGCCCAACATCGCCATGTGTTACAGTGGTGGCATTAAAATAACTGGGCCAGTTGTGTTTTGTGTGTTTGCGCGTGTGCTGCTACAGGTAGGTCCCGAGTTTGTAATGATTTGTAATTGTTGACAGGTCTTCAACTACACCGAGACCTTGATTGTGTAATTAACTGACTGTGGATGACGGTTATAGCATTTAGAAACCATTTCAAACTCCACTTTAAGACCAGAGTAAGGTTTATATTTAAAAATAAAAATGTGTTTAGTGGCGAGATATATAAAAATACCCTGCTTTGAATAAAAATGTATGCCCCCCAGATTAAAAAAAAAAAAAGTGAAAAGAAGAGTGTTGATTGTTGTGACAAGGTTTGGAAAGGACTTTGATAGCCTCTTTTTATTTTTGGTATGAGCAATATGCTAATGCATAAAGTACATTTTGAGCTGTGATGCATGTGGACAATGCCTCAGAAGAAGATATAAACAGATCTTTGAGTTTTTGGGGGATTTTTTTGTTTGTTTTTAACCTCATGCAGCTCTGCTCACATCACTAACTGATACACTATGACGTCTAATTGAAACGGATGGTTTCTGTTTATTTTAAGAGCGCTCACTCATCATTCATTTCCTGACAATGCTGAACAGTGTAGGAAAATAGGCCATTTATAATAATCTGCGTAGCTGCAACAAACAAACTGCATCTTTAGCTCCAGCTAAAGAAATGACTAAACTGACAACATTTCCAACCCTATGGATCAGCTTAGGGATATACAATAAAAGACTGGTGTAGGACCGGAAGCTATGGACATGAGTGCTGCTTTCAATTATGAACGCACACGCACACACAAAACCCCTAACTGTAGGGACAATTATCTGCCAGACGATGAGGATGGAGAGCAGGAGAGACCAAAGAGAAAAAAGGCAAAGGAGAGGGGGTGTTCAGCTGCCAGATCCTTTGAGCTATCAAAGACAGAACGTGATCCACCGCCAACCACCAGGGCTCAATTGATAACAGGCTTGGGGGAGGCATTTCCTATTCTTGTGCAGAAGTGTATCTGTTTGATGACTGTAATTTAAACACTCAGGCAGCATAATTTAAGGCCATAGTTTAACAAAATGTGCAAAAAAAAAAAATCCTTTCATGAAGTTGGCCTGTAAAACAATTAAGAAGAATGAACAACAGAGGACAAATTTAGATGTTAACTGACCACTTACACATCTCTGATCTGAAAGCAAAAACAACAATAGGAAGTGCAGCGATGGTTAAGAGAGGAGTGCTACAGTAAGTACACTCTGTTTACTCAGGAGGCAAAAGTGTGGCTAAACACAGACACAGGGGGAAAAGACACAACTAAGCAGCTGTATGACTTTGGCTCACAGAAACATCAGCTGGCCATCAACAGCGTCTCCCTCTCTTGTTCTGGCGAAAAAAACCCAGGTGCACGGGTAAGCCCAACAATCGCAAGTCATCACTTGTCAAGACTGTCACCTGTTTGCGCACTGCAGTTGAATAGCAGAGTCAAACATCCACAGGGGTGGGTGGTGCTCCGCTGCATGCGAGCCAAGTCTACTTTAAAATAAAAAAAAAAAAGAGAAAAGCATCAGAGCTTTTAAAAGCCCTTTCAGCACCAACTGTGAACTGTCTCTGATCAGCCACTTGACAAACAAGCAGCCAAAGATTTACATAGATTAAGCTTTCCTCAGAAGTCAATTCAATGTTTCTGGCAGACGTTCGTGATGTTTGGAAGTCAAATGAAAGAAAAGAAAAAAACAGACAGGGCATGCGACCTGACTAGTCACAACACTAAACAATGGTATGGAAGATCAAGGTTATTTCAAGGGGTTTCCACTTCTAGCGAATGAGCTGTGCTGTCGCAAAAAATGCAACTGAGAGGCAAATAAAGTGGCTTGGAACTATTTGAGTAATGCTCTAATTTTACACTGCTTCCCTGAAAAACCTGTTATACACTGCCAAAGTACTTATTAGTACTGCAAAGATGAGCCCTTTGTGAATGTCTGTGAGGACAGCAAAGCCTCGATACAGATGGGTTGTTGGTGGTTTATAAGTGGTTGGAAAAAAAAGGTAAATGAAATGATTCTTATATATAGCACTTTTCTACTCTACTTGAGCACTCCAAGTGCTTTATACAACATGCCATTCACCATTCACACAAGCACTTCTATCTAAGCGCTTTCTTTCCAACATTCACACACATTCATACTTGGAGTTCAGTGTCTTGCCCAAGGATACTTTATGCATGCAGACTGCATCAGCCAAAGATCAAACCACCAACCTTCCGATTAGTAGATAACCTGCTCTACTTCCTGAGCCACAGCCCGAGGTGGCAAAGGAGACACACCACAAGAGACAACTGTCCTAATATGAATTCAGCTACACATGTTCAGCTAGAGAAAAGATTTGTTTCCAGAAAATGTAAATGCAGGATTTTCTTTAATGCTAAAAAAAAAAAAAAAAAAAAAACTGCTTGAGAAGCGCAGCACTTTTAATATTTGCGTCACCTTAGGGCATCTCCCTTACTCCATTTCTGTATATAGCAGTATTTAGATCACACTATCTGCAGTGAAAGGGAAAGATAAAAATGTCTTCCGGAGTCTGGAATGCTGCATATGAACAGCTGGCAGATGTGTCTGAGGCTCTTCATGTGATCAATGGCGCTAGACGAGCTTGTCTGATTAAAAACAAAAAGCTCTGATTGCTTTCCCTCGTTACACGTATGTGTTCAGAATTAGACTATTAGCTTTAGCCTTCTAACAGCATGCAACTACCCCAAA